ATGTAACAAGGAACGAACATTTTGGTATTGAAAGATTACAAATAACTGTATGCTTTGGTTGCAAATTATCCGGAACCCATCGTCGTCTCTAGGATCAACAGATAGTGAAACTACTTATCAAAAGTAGCAAATGTTAGTCAGAAAATTTTGACATACCCTCGGAACAAATCGAAACCCATGGGTATGGGAACAACATCCCAAAATATTTGCTGGGCGCTGTTTGGTTTTAGACACAAAGCAATGTCAGTCAAAGTGAACTAGTAGGTGATTAGGGTAGCATTTTTGGCTAACTGGGTTGAAAATCGGGATGATGGAGATATAAGTAGAATAGTAATAATGTTAAAGATCAAGGTGACTTTTTAAAGGGACCATTACGGACGGAATAAGCCCCTGGCAGTGATGGCGTGGGGGTGGTTTGACATTCGCTCTCTGCCGCAGATCAGTCCATCTAAGCTCATCAGACTGACCAGGTTAAGACAAAATCCCACATTCGATAACCACCACATCCATTCTGGTGTTAGCTTTAAATATCCTATACCTAAGCATTACGCCTTGAGGGAAAATATCGCAACACCTTCCTAGTAAAGCCAACAATATCCAGGTCCATCTCACGATCTGTAACTGGCAAATATGCCGCTACAGCTGAGTCGCGCATTAGAACTATGTATTCAAAATGGTTATTCGGTGTCCGTAACATACGTCTCTTGAGTACCGCTAACCTTGTGTGCACCTCGCTAGTGGTTTTTGCCCATGTTTAATTGCACATATTACGTGCAACTAATTTTGTGCACGCAGTTACTCTGCTTGTAGTTAATCCATTTAGTGCGCAAGTTTTGGACGGAGGGTCTGTCCCTACTACAGAACACCCCCAATTTTCATTCGTTTACTACCCGGCGGATGGAGCCTGAAGTCAAACTGTTATAAGGAATCCATACCATCCCAATCTACTACGTGATAGTAGGGCTTAGAACTTTCGCAACTGACGTCTCACAGCGCCTCACGCATCCATCATCAAACAGTTGATTCATTACTTTTTCCGGGCGGTCTTCCTAGCTTTTTTCTGTGCCACGGTTTGGATTTGTTGATAAGGAGCTGAGGTGATTTCAGCGTGCACATGCTTTGTATAGTCAGAACTGTAGTGGATTGCCCATCTGGGCTCGTTGGTAAACGAAATATCGGGGTTTCTAGATTATCCCCAATCCTGTGGAAGAAACCGTCGTGAAATGACAGACTGCTGCTGCAAGACTCCAATTCTGTCGTGAGTTATCTTGTCTGATTACTGGAGCTCAATAGGTACTTTAGAAATGCATCCTTCTTATCTCGTTTGTAGACTGTAAACATTTCGTACAAGTAAATTCACCAAGGTTTCGGCGCGCTATTACAGTTGCTAAAGACCTTACAAAATATTTCCTCTACAAATGTTCCAATATTGGGGATATTGGGGGTCTCAAGGCAAGACCCTGCTCCTGATGTACAGCCACGATTGGGACGTGAAATTAGACTTGCTAAAGCACGGTGCCATTCCCTTGACTGCTTAAATATCATCCCAGTTCGCCATAACTGCCACACCAACCACCCGCTGTTACAGTTTGCTTGCTGATGCTTTGGTGTTTGCATCATTTGTTCAAAGCTAGGCCCCTAGTGTTAACTTGTGGTCGATGGCTGCTCAATAATTTTGTCCAGATGAAAACCATCTTTCTGCCTGACTGCATATAGCTTTTACTTGTCAATGCCGATGGGGCATGATGGCAAAAGTAACTATCTCATGTTTATCTATGGTCATGATAAGGAAGGTTTGCACTAAATGTTTGATGGCAACATATCCAACTTGACAATAGTGCAATTTCATTTGGCAGCTATCTGCTGTCACATAGGAAAGTCATATTTGGATGTAAAGCTTCTTTAGCTGAAGAGTATAAGCTGTGTTAAGAAGGTTGACTTTTTCTGTGTGTAACTGTTAACAGCTCAGAACCGACTCCTTTGTTAAGATGTCGCTCAGTGCAGTATTTGTTCTATCAATAAGCTATGCTTAGTTTTTAGGTTGCTAGGGGTGACGCATTCGCGGACCGCGTTTACTTTTGAGACTAATGGAAACGTCGTTAGTGCAAATATTCGTTAGCAAGATGTGGATCATGGTGCATTCAGACTCTGTACGGTAAATAGTAATTAGTATTAGGTCAAAATAACTCACGTTTTGGATGGTTTCGGTGTGGCTCTCGCCCATCCCTGCACTCCACTACGGACGATTTCCTTTTTGTTTAGACTCATCAGGTAGAGATAGCCGAGCTGGGAGTGGAACTCGGCGCATAGTGTTTGGCGGCTATCGCCATGACCACGAGACCATTGAGCTCTGCGAGCAGTGCTTGACACAGCGGTTTTTGCTTCACCCTTTTGAACGGATTTTCTCCGTAGCACTGGCTCTCATTTTAACATGCCGCTGATGTCATCTAGTGTTGCGTCCAAATGTCCCGTTGAAATCTGGGCATGGGGTGTTAATGATTGTGAGGCTGTTAGTGGCACCACGCTTTAACCGATAAATGCATGCAGCTCCGTCAAACTGATCTGTGTTCTATGTTCCCAAAATCTAAGTGTATAAAAAAATAGTTATGTGCTCTATGATTACCCAACGCCAACAGTTCAGAAACAAGAGGTAGGCATTCCGTTCAGGCTGTACTCCTCAGTCAGGCGGCCGACCTAGGCCGGTAACTACTAGTAGAATGTGAAGCAAAAACCAAAAATGGTGAAGCTTAGACTGATTTCGGAGAAATTTGTAGACAATCGGTTAGTTTGTTTGACACTAAATCTTGGTCAGGCCAAGTGAATTTGCGCGTAGTTGGTGTGGCATTATATAACGGGTGAAGGAGATAATCGTGCCAATTGAGATATGAGTCAAGAGTCTCTCCCAGAGAGATGGAAAAGTCAACTGAAGTGGGCAGTCAGAATGGGGCTATTGTCGGGGTTCACTGTCTGCCTTCTTGACTAGGCTGTGTGGTCAATGTGCAATCCAACCTGACCCGCGTATGGACGCTTGTCAGACTGGGGGGGGGGGGGTACGATTGCTCTCCACGCAGTCGAGAATAGAATATTCAGAAAGCTTTCAGCTTTAGCGAATTCGATTGTCTCGGCAATTAGACAACATGGCTAGTCTCCGATAAATATCTACCACAACCGCAAGCGGTCAGCTAGTGTCTGCATACCCGAAAAATCTCGGGACGGCTCTCGGCAGGTAGCATTCCATTCGTCCCAAACAAGAAAACCAAAGGATGTAGTTTGTGAGATGACTGGGTTAGTACGGATATTGGTATCAATCACCAACATGCGACGCTGACAGACAAAGCAAATCAGTGTCGCACATCGCCAAGAACTTTTGCTACCAGGGAAGGATTAGATTCAGAATCAGCAGAAAGGTAGGCATTCAAGGTCAATAAAGATATCTATCAATACTTAGGAATGTGGGGCCACTGACCACCCATTAGGACTGCGAGCAACTCATCAGGATTAATTCAGTTGCCGGTGATCAGCAAGTGCTTTGTGCCAGCCAAGTCAGCTTGTTTTTCCGGTTCAAACGGTTCCGGCGTCATAAATCTCATCCGGCTGCGCATAAACTTGCGGATGTGTTGAGCAATACGATCAACTAGACTTCGGTCAGTACACTCAACTTTGTCATCCTCAGAGCTACATGTGAATTGGCACCGACAATCAAACATGCGCTGCTTACTCATCAGTATTTTGCTCGAACACACAAGAATAAACTCTGTCGGGGTGAGCAGCGGCATTTCCGCCGTGTTGTGCACCCTTTGGAGCGAAGTGATTATCCTTTTCTCAGTGGCTTTCACAGCGTGGTTAGCTTTGTTAGATCGATGAATATCAGTTTTTCAGGATTGTTGGAACACCAACTGGCTTGGCGGTTTCACTGAAGAGATTACTGAACCGCAACGTATAATAGTTGCATTGCTACGAATCGAAAACAGATCTCCATCTGCATTGTTGCTGTCTGGAATACAGATCATATTGACCCGAAAAACAGTGACCTAACGCGAGCAGTTGCGTTGTATAGGGGTGAAATTCCTAAAATGCAAATACTGATCAGTGCAAGTTAGTTTTCGGTTTAAAGACCTGACGGAAGTGGGTAGCGGCCGTATAAACACATGTAGGTACAGTAGATAGTTGTGTTACTCAGTGTTCTGTGTCACTGTAAGGATTGAGTGCATCTTGTTAGGCTTCTCGGTTGCTGGCGTGATGTCCACACACAAATCATGACGCGCCTGCTTTCATCTTACTATTTACTATCCTGACCCCTTAGTGAACACAATGACAACAGCCAGCAACTGGTGCAGCTTAGCATTGTTCCCGTTAAAAAGTGCCATGTAAACAGTAATAGTGCCTCTGGCCTTATAGAAAACGTAAAACGGTTTCCGGATTGCCGGTTATATTGTACACACGATCGCTCAGTTCCTCAGGAAAACGGATAGGAATATGACAACGAGGATTTCTGCATTTCTTGTAAACACAGCAGGTGAATTGAGAGTTTTATCCTTGTAAGATCCGAACTTGCATTCAGATCGTTCGTGATTAAATAATTTTGTATTCCTCCTGCTAAAACTTTGTGTATTATTGCGAACGCATTTCTCAGGTAGAGGCCATATATAGAACTATATCAAATTTTGTGTCAACACTGTATACGATGACGCCGACACCAATTGGTCTGGGACAATGCAACATTTGAGCGGTGTTTACACATACGACCATGCTTAGAAAGTAGTCTGTCAACACCAATTTTTACGATGATCACTGTGTTGGTCTGGTTTCATTCCCAAGGCGTGTGCGCAAGAGTTCTTCGTGGGTCTATCAGTTCACCCCATACGTTTCCATCCATATTCTTTCCTAGTTTATTTCGATACGTTAAAAAGTGCTGAACTCATAAAGTGCTTTTGCATTAAATATACCGTGCTTACTTCAGTGTACCTTTTCATTTATTACATCTATTTCTAATATCTTAGGTGTTCAGGTTCATGGAAGCAATGGAAGCCATCAGTCGTCTGAGAGGGTCACTTTCAGCTTCTTCCTACAATCGTTGGAAACGCCAATTGAAGCAGGCTTTTGTAAACAAAAATATTATTTCACGCTACACTCGAATGCATCAAATATATTATCGTCCCCATCCAAGTGATTTCCGACCCCAGAGGTATGCGATTCAACTATAATTTATATTGTCATGACATTTTTCATGTATTATTTAAGTTATTTCATGTGCGAAGCATGCGATATATGAAATGCTGAACTATTTGGAAAACTGGATGTAATCTCCATCTGACTTATTGATTGACTTCCATAATAAAGTAGATTGGCACTGAGACCTTACTCTGGCTTCGATCTTGCTCGAGAAAAGAGGTCCAGAATAAATGTACGCGTACTTGATTATCATTAGGCCGCAGATCAGCGTTTCACGGGCTTCTTCGCATCGTGCAGTGAACTTTGTGACAAAGTGTTGATTCTACAGCGATTTTAGCAACATGAAATTGTGCTGGACCACAGATGCTTTTAAATTACATAGACACTTATGCAGTCCATAGTAGAACTTCACAAGCGAGAAGATGATCATCTGTTCAACGAAACGCTGATGACTGACTTAGCCACCTCAGGTTCTTCCAGCTGAAATTTCGGACAACTGCATTTTAGAACGGTTATGCATTCTTTTCTTGCTTTGATTGCTTATGGGTTTAAATAGCCCTTGATGTCTGGACGTTAATGTTTACGGTAGGTTAGCATGAACCAGTGTCGTAGAAAATGAATACACTTCCTTTTCCCGAGCACAGCTCATCGCCATCAGTACACGACGTTTGCGGCCTATCGGTTATTGATCTGTTTGCTGTATACGTTCTTAAGATGCGTTCTTAAGATGGCAGTTTGTGAAAGCCTATCATATGTGTACGTATTGTAATTCGTTCCCCTTACCTTATTTTGTAACTTTAGTCCAGTAATAACGAGCGGTTTTCAGACTTTAATTTCCAAGGAAGCATGAAACTAGAGATATTGGGTCCACTCTCACACACCCTACACGATCGTTGCAAGCGCAGTTCGACTGGGTTAATTAAGTGTCTGTTAATTTGGTTTTCCCATCAGCTCGAGCATTGAGTTTACTTAAGTAGTGAACATAATACCATGTTCTTGAGGAATCAATTAGAGATGATTTTACGGTGGCCACTCTGATTATCAGGCCTGAAATCGGTTGATGCTAATTTATTTCAACAGACATCCTACAAATGGTAAAGCAGCTGGCAGACAATGATAACTGTGGGGCATAGAATCACTCGCTGCAAAATTTCCCTGGCCGTAGAGAATTAAGAGCCATAAGCAACCTAACGGTGACAAGCCAAACTATCTAAATGAGCAGAAAGATAAAAATAAAGTTTAACTGGAATGGACTAAAGTCGTCAGGTGAGCTCTGCTAGAAACCAGTAGGACTGGTAAATACTAGTCTGAGAGGGTACGCGTAGAGCGCGGATATCGGAAGGCAATTTAAGTCAGACAAAGCGGAGATATATTCGATAGTCTACAAAAGACTTGGATGGATGAAGCGTGACAGAAGCAAACGTTAGTGTCCTGACTCACCAAACGGTAACGTGACAAACAAGATGTAAGCTAAGATGACCCTAGAGTAAAGGAGGTTAAAACAAGAAATAGCAATGTACAATTGGTCAGCAATTAAATTGTACATGAAAGATCCTAGTTATCTTGTGGGACGCTACAGTCTCCCACTAGAAGGCTAAACAAATAAATCCTTCCATGTCGAAAATGACGGATGAATCGAGGTACTTAGGGCGAAATCGTGCCGAGTAAGACTATGTCAGTGTTCGCGTTAAATGGGGGTTCGTCGGAAATCAGAGTCCGCTGTACCGTTTGTTATTTACTAGCTGTACTCGGCCACGCGTTGCTGTGGCTAAGTGTGCGTAAATGTAGACGAATGAAAAGAATAATCTAACCTTTATACTTGATGTAGTTTCAAAGTACTCGTTGGTATGCAAGGTTCCTAGTTGTACTGTTGTCTAGAGGTCTAAAAGTGAAGGAGAATTCTCACCTTTGTAATAGATGCAGTTGCATAACTTGTGGTTATAAAACCTTTTGTATTGTAACCTTGTCTGTGCACATATAGAGGTTGTCAGATTTGCCTAGTCTAGAACACGTAACATGTAAATGTGTACGTAAGAAGCAGGCGGTGCGTAAATCTAATCAGCACATTTCAAAAATGATTCTAACCTTTGTTAATTGTGATTACAAACACCGAAAGAATAGAAATTGGTCTCCAATTGCGATGAGGTTGTTGTAGCTCAGCGTGGGCAAATAAATATGAAAAAATAAAATTCTTCGTGCAAATATGGAGATTCCCAAGTTTTAGAAGGAAGTTGCGAAGAAATTTCGTTTCGATAAATCTCTTCAGGCAATTTCAATTATGAGCTTCATAATCATTTATTCGGTAGCTATTGCTATAGATGCAACACAAAGTCGTGAATGCTGCGATCGGATGAACTTTGGCAATCTATGTCTATTTGAACCCAGTACCATTGGCCATTATGCCAGGGGTCAGGTGATCAGGCTAGGGCCACGGTAGGGTTAAACTCCGCATAAATGCACGCTTTGTACACAGTTCCAGCTTCAGCTGCTTGCTCGCAATAGCTTCTGTTGTGGCCAGTAGGCGCTTCTTGAATCCTTTTGTGCAGCTTTTTACTGATACATACATTATTTTAAAGACCTCTTTCGTTTGTATGTTACGTCCACTATCCACTAGGTGTTCTGGGATGGAGCTGTGGACAGTTCTGGTGGGACCACCTCGTAATGAGGCTGGGCAGTGTTCCGCTATCCGCTTTGGCAGAAGCCTGGTCGTGTGTCCGAGGTATCTCGCACCACAGGTGCAAGTGAACTGGTCTAGGATTCGGCCTACGCCGGAATTCCGTCTTTTAGGCGGTTGGTGATGAGCGGAACGCGACATTTGTCTGCGTCGAATGGTAGGGCGTTTTGAACTGACCAGTTCGACACTGTGTTAAGATCGCACTGGAGCCGTTCGTGCTTGTCCGGTCCTCTGCTCCCTCACCATGTTTTGATTTCATCAACGAAAAATAGGAAATCGATAGCCATTGATCTCGCCAAATCATTAATGAACACCAAGAATAGACGAGGTCCAAGCACCGAGCCTTGTGGTACACCACACACCACATCGAGTGCATCGGACAATGATTCTCGAACTCTCATCTCCAGCGGTCGTTCGCGTATTAAAACGCTAATCCAACTCAGGATTGAGTCGCCAGTGCCATAGTACAGAAGCTTCTGTAGGAGAATTCGATGGTCTAAGCGATCAAACGCTTTTGAAAAGTCCAGGTAGATGACATCGACTCCTGCTCCATCATCAACGTTTTCAGTCCAGCTTTTGACGAAAGCAATGTTGCCCTGGGGCTATTAAGTAGTGGCTTTCTAGTTACTGCATCAGCGCATCTGGGATGATGAAGTTCATCAATTTGGCTAGTACCGGAAGTAGTGTTATTGGACGATAGTTGGTAGGGTCAGTGCGGCTATTTCCTTTATGGATGGGAGTGAGGACCCTTTGCTTCCATACTGGTGGAATATGTTTCTTTTCTAGACATTGCTGATAGAAAACAGCCAATGCTTCCGCTAGAGCACTTGCTACCGCCTGCAGAGCCTTTGGTCGGATGTTGTCGACTCCAGGAGAATTGTGGAGATGCAATGATAACAACTTCTTCAGCGCAGCTTCCGAAGTGTAGGAGATGTTGTCTAAACCCAAATGCGGAGTAATAGAAACGAGGGGAATACTTTGTCTCGTTAGCTGTTGGAAAGTTTGGGATTAATGAAACCTTGGAAAATCAGCTGCGTCCATTGTTGATAGCGTGCATCCATCAGTCGTGACTAGGGCTGGAATCCATTGCTTCACCTTTCAAAGGCCGTTAAGGTGCCTGTACAGAGGTTTGCGTTTCGTGCAGGATCACTTCATTAACTCCTGCTGATGTGTACCCTTGTCTTAGCGAATCAGTTTCACACATAATTTACCATGTGTCACGTATACAGTCCAGGTTTCGGCATTCGAGTAGCCCTGGTGATCTGGCCATGCCAAATCCCTCCGGGACATACATTTAGTGTGTTCCGCTCCTCAGAAATGAGTTATGTTTGTTTTGGGGTTGGAAGGACTTCCGTTCCGATGCGTGCGCTACCGGTGTCCTGAACGTTCTTGTAAACGTTTCTCAGGCAACAATAGAGGGCATCCAGTTAAGAAAGTTCAAATTGTATCCTTAACAAGCGTAGATAACACATTCTGGTGCGTAACAGTACGCACTTTATCATCCTTCTTTTCAGGATCCTCTGCATAGCATATTTAGTCATGGAGTAGAGTAACAAGATCACTAGGACCCAGTGGCGTGCTTGTACCAATCCTGTCCACCATGCGTTCTTCGTTAGTGAGCACAAGATCCAGTATCGATGGCTTGCTAGCATTTCGGAAGCTGTTGGTAGCGATTACGTGTTTGTACACAGGGTGACAAACAATTAGCTTTTGCAAGCAAGCTTTAAGCTGCGTACCGTCGGTGGCTGGCGTTTCTATGCCGTGCACGTTGAAGACGCCAGTGCTAAGAATGTGGGTGTAAGACTTGTTCAAAGCAAACTGAAAGACCTGGTTCAGTTTGGAGGCCATTTCCGACGTTGAGTTTGGTGGGCGGTAAATCGCGACTAGTAGACCTGTGTCATTGTTTCGCAACTATAGGCGGCTCCAAAGGGAACCAGGAGTGCGGATTTCCGGGTGATCGATAACTTCACATCGGTGGTCTGTATTATAATAATGAATCAAACAGCCACCCCTTCCGGTTCTATCGGTCCGAAGCAGCGACCTACCGGGTAAATTGATCTCGGAATCGGTTATATCAAGGTTTAACCGGGTCTCTGTAATCATGACGTTGTTCCATCGTTGTGAGGCATAGAGTTCTTCAAGCTCGGCCAACTTACTTAGAAGGCCTTGGGAGTTTTTGTACATAAAACGTGGGGTTTTTGTCGTTAAGATTGCGTTGATAGACGTCAGATTTGTGTTAGTTTTTAAGCCGGCTGTTAGATGGCCGGCCATTATTCTGTTTTTGGTTTATGAACTTCAGTCAAGTTGCATTGCATTAGTGAGCGTTCCTGTGCAGATGCTTCACTCGTGCTGTGCTCTGTCCTGTTGTGTGCCGTGGGTGCTTTTGTGTCGGCCTCTCCGCAGGACTGTGCAGATAAAGAATTTGCAGCGTTTGCAAGTTGCATCAAATTACTTACAACTTTTGGTCAGTCGCCTGCTGCCTTTCTCCGCATTTCTGTTATCAACGTGGTTTGAATATGTAAGCAGTCTTCCAACAGAACTTGCTTCAATCCCTCGGAGTGTAATATTACTTTCATTAGTCTTGGACCGCAGCCCTGATAGTTAGGTAATGACAAACTCTTGTCAGGCATTTGGCAATAACATTGTCAACAGAGAGTGCTTCGCGGAGGAAGCACCACTGCTCTCGGTCGTGTGCTTGCGCAGCGTGATCAGAAGAATGCAGAAGCCCGGGAACACCACGAAGAAATATTGTTTTCTTGCTGTCACTATTAGGAATGCCGCGTTCGTCACGCACTTCTTTTTTGGGCGATCTTTCTAAGATAGATCAGGTAATCTGTGCACTCCGCTCGGTGAGTTGCGAAAACGAACTGCTGAGAACAGGATAGCCTGTGCCTGAATCTGGTGTTACTCAAAGAATTCGAGGTTCACCAGAGTGCACTGAAGTCGGGTGACGCGCTAGGCGTTGCAGCATTGCAGGCTCAACCCGAATATCAATCGCCTCGCAGATGGAACTCCACTAAATGCGCTCGTCTTGCAACTTGCCTTTTATTGTGCCAGATTTAGACTCGGGAACGTTGGTGCACACGAGAGTTAGCGCAGCGTGCTTTTGCCTAGCGAGAGTTGGATTTATAGTTTTTGCCGGCCATTTGGACTGTTTAGAAGGCACCAATAGAGTTGACTGTGAAAGTTGCTTTCTACACGTGTGCTCGGTATAGAAGATGGGCCTACGTGTGTCGCTCCCAGTGTGTTTGTAGAGGCAACCGTACATTACCTGCTTGTTATCGGTACCAGAGTACCTTCGGCGCTGAGCTATCGGTGTCACGGCTGAACCTCCAGGTGAAGCGCCTATAGTTGTAGAAGTAGAAGCAGGCATGTTTGATGCTTGTAAACTTATGGCAGTGAGGTGACCTAATGAATTTAGAGACACAGACGCTGCAGTGCGGCTGGAGCGTTTAGCTCTTGTTTCGGCTTAGCTTCAGAGCTTACTTTGGCTGTGGCCATATGTACCTCAGTGGGGTCGATCTTATTATTTACAAGATGCGCGAGTATCTTAGTCACCCTATCGCACATTTTCATGGAAAAAGATAAACAGTTGACAACTGGAATAACTTCACATGTTGGGCAAAACCAAATTGTGTCAGCAACTTTGTTTGTCAGTTTCACTTCTTAGACGGATTTGTCTACACATTGCGGACAATGTGAGCTAATGCAGCTAGAACAGATTATTCCGATCTTAAGGACTTTACTGCAATTGTCTGCGCAACATAGGCGACGTTGAATCATTGGAATAATCCTACTGATATATGTGGTCACGGTCAGTAATGGGGCAGTAAATTAGGAATGACCGCAGATGGTGGCGATATGGTGTAAAGCTTCCACAATAACAAGATGGAATGGAGCAACTAGATGTACACTACAACAGAGGTAACAAGGGCAAAGTGATACTGACGCACCGTGTATGACTTCGCTTCAATTTTCGTTGCGTTCAATCGGCGCTGGTTTGAGGTCAAAGGGGTCATAGGTGTCGCGTCCAGATGAGTCACATGTTCCTTCGAGTGGATAGACGACGTGCGTGCTATCGATCCATTCGGTAAGTGGATAGGCAGCGATGCCGCGTAGGATTTAGGAAAAGCAAGATGACTTAAAAATACTGTTTAATGACAACAGTGGCTGTTCCAAGGGCGGAGCAAATTGAAAACTATCACTTTGTACATGGACTAGAAGGAATGGTAGTAAGATGTTCGGGTGACTCTCAAAAAGATCTTTAAAATCAGACCACAAAATTGCTTATGCGACACGAGGAAAAATAAGTGCTCTGAAAAGGTTCAAGCACGGTTGACTTCGAAATTGCAAAAGCACAGTTTGCTGGTAATCCGCGAATTACAGATCCACAAGATGTACAGTGGTGGGTGAAGCTCGCGGAGCCAAATCGAATGATCGTACGTAGGTCTCTGTGAGAATACATCCGAAGATTTAGAGGCGATTAAGGCAAGAAGACAGTTTCTACGCCAGCTCGGTAGACGTAGTGCTAACGGAAGACGTTCGAAAGCAGTTTCTGCTTTATTAGCAGCATGGTTCTAGGAGCCATGCAAACCACAAATCCTTTATCCCTTTTCGCTCAAGAATAAGAGTCCAGCTGAATTTCGCGGTGCAATCTAGACGGATTAAGATCTTCAAGTTTAAGACAATTGAGCTGTTCCAATGGCGCCCGCGCGCTGGGATGTAACTTCTTTGAAATCGCTTGCCTCATCGTTTCATACTTTGCCTCATACGATAGGCAGAGTAGAATGCCCTGAAGCATCGTCACAAGCGACAAAGTAAGGCGTGAGACAAGCTTATTGTACCTCGAACGGTCCATCTGAATGCCCTTATGCTTCAGTTCGATCTCGAATATAGCAAACCAAACATCTGGGATGTGTTCCATGATATTTGGAACAGCCAAAGTAAGCATGTTTACGCTGCGAAACGACTCAGCTGCCACTTCGCGTTGTGAATCGAGAAGATCAAGAATGAACAAAAACATGATGAAACTACTTAAATTAGGCATATAAACAAGACACGTATATAACCGAGAAACAGACACGAACTCACCAAAAAGTAAACACTACTTACCAGTTTAAACTCGCGCTTGCGAATAGGGGTCACCAATTCGTAGGACTAGTAAATACTAGTCCGAGAGGGTGCGCGTAATCGAGCGCGGATATCAGAAGGAAATTTAAGTGGGA